TTCCTTCTGTATCTTGCTTAAAAGACTTAGTTTCACAATATGTCTTCACACAAAAGATCTTCTGTTCCATTGTCCAAGGCATGCTTTTTTTTTATAACTATTTCCCAGCAGTAATCTGAAACGAGAAAGAGAATAAAGTCAACAGGGAAGATCTGAGAAGACGCTGCTTTGTTTCACCTGCTCCACCGAAGGCCAAGGTGGTTTCATCTGAATAAAAAGTGGTGGCCTAATTATGGAACTTTCTATATTTGGTTTCTGTTTATTTCTAAGGTTGTATGTTATGCTAGAGCTATAAACTGTCAAATGCGTTAAAACTATATAAATACTATCCAATTATATCGTCAGAAAGTTGAAAAAAAAATGCTTCTGAAATGTTTCGACTTTATTCCCCTTGTTACATAGATGGTAAAATCGAATTTTCGGTTTGGGGATGACCTTCTTCAAGAACTAAAACAAATGAATACTTTTTTTAAAGAAAAGTTCATCGATTTACGACAAAGGAACCTAGGGTTACAAAATAGTCATAACTTAGTGTGTATGTTTCCCAATTTTTGAAACAAAATGATGGGGCACAAATGAAGGACCACAAATGATAGAGTATTGGTAATCACATTTATTGAACAGTAAAAGGATAACATTTTAAAGTCTGTAAACATTTAGTCTCAAACCTGAACCAAAAAATATCAAGAAGAGCCTCATAGAACGTGCTCCAGATGTCCGTCGTTCAGTTGAAGGCGCTGTTGAATGCAAAGTTGATGATAACGCGTGCACATTCCCCCTGGGTGATCGCTTGAATCTTCTCAGTGATGGCTGCCTTCAATACAACAATGGTACGAGGGTTGCCCTGGTAGATGTCCTTGAGGAAACCCCAAAAGAAAGAAATCTGGGGGTTAAGATCAGGCGATTGAGGTGCCCATTACATTTCAGCGGCTGATGAGACGCTTCCCAAATTTTTCACGGCGCCAAACACTAGGAAAGTATAAAAATGCATTTTTTGTAGATAAAAATACTAGCAAAACGTTTTTATAAAAAATACCAACAAAACATTTTTATATTAAAATGGCCAACAATAAATTTTATATTAAAATGGCCAACAATGTATTTTTATAGTAAAATGACCAACAGTACATTTTTATAGTAAAATGACCAACAATATATTTTTATAGCAAAATGACCAACAATACATTTTTATCGTAAAATGACTAACAATATATTTTTATATTAAAATGACCAACAATATATTTTATATTAAAATGACCAACAATACAGTTGTATAGTGAAATGACCAACAATATATTTTTATAGTAAAATGAGCAACAATACATTTTATAGTAAAATCGTCAATAATACATTTTTATATTAAATGAGCAACAATACATTTTTATAGTAAAATGAGCAACAATACATTTTTATAGTAAAATGACCAATAATACATTTTTATAGTAAAATGAGCAACAATACATTTTTATAGTAAAATGACCAATAATACATTTTTATAGTAAAATGACCAATAATACATTTTTATAGTAAAATGAGCAACAATACATTTTATAGTAAAATCGTCAATAATACATTTTTATATTAAATGACCAATAATACATTTTTATAGTAAAATGACCAACAATACATTTTTATAATAAAATGACCAATAATACATTTTTATAGTAAAATGAGCAACAATACATTTTTATAGTAAAATGACCAACAATACATTTTTATACTAAAATGACCAATAATACATTTTATAGTAAAATGACCAACAATACATTTTTATAGTAAAATGAGCAACAATACATTTTTATAGTAAAATGACCAATAATACATTTTATAGTAAAATGACCAACAATACATTTTTATAGTAAAATGAGCAACAATACATTTTTATAGTAAAATGACCAATAATACATTTTATAGTAAAATGACCAATAATACATTTTTATAGTAAAATGACCAACAATACATTTTTATAGTAAAATGAGCAACAATACATTTTATAGTAAAATGACCAATAATACATTTTTATAGTAAAATGACCAACAATACATTTTTATAGTAAAATGACCAATAATACATTTTATAGTAAAATGACCAAGAATACATTTTTATAGTAAAATGAGCAACAATACATTTTTATAGTAAAATGACCAATAATACATTTTATAGTAAAATGACCAACAATACATTTTTATAGTAAAATGACCAACAATACATTTTATAGTAAAATGATCAGTAATACATTTTATAACAAATCGACGAACAATACATTGCATAGTAGAATTACGAAGATTTTATTTTATAATAAAATAACCAATAGTATATTTTTATAAAAAAATGACAATCCAGTTATTTTTATAGTAAAAATGAAGATATGGCAATATTCTCAAAAAAATACATGCACCGAAAAATCAGGTGTTATACGTTGGAATTTCGAACCGAACGCTTAATTTCGTCGACCGGGTTACATTTTTTATTTTCACTGCCATTCAGTTATTTCCTTTTA